TCTTGGAAAATAGATGAAGGTAAGATGTATACCTGAACTTCTTTAAATAGATCAGTGTATCCATAGGAATGAATCGTCTAAAGTATCAATTACTAAAGCAGTGTTTCATTTTACTTGCAAGATTGAAAGAAAATCCTTGGCACTGAAGTATACAGAAAGTAGCAGCTTCAAAAGTTCTGATGAAGGAAGATGGTAGAAATTGTGAGAGGGTAAATAAGATACAGTGGAATCTGTAAGCATTAATCTTTTTTTTTCTTCTTTTTTTTCCACTTGAGTGTGTATGTATTTGTATTGCTTCTTTTTTTTTCTTTTCTTTTACGTTCATCATGATCTTTCAAATGATTTCGATAATTGACGAAGATATGTATAACTTTGACCAGTAACCATGCTATATATAATCCCAGGTAAGCAGCATGAATGATTACATGGCTTGACACAGCCTAGGACACAAGCACACAAATTTGTCAGAGGGGGGAGAAAACTCTTGAGTTTCAATTCTCCTATCTGTGCATTTTTTGATAGAGCTCAGATTAATTGAGGGTGATCAGTGCTTGTTATTAACACTCTTACATATGAGACAAAATCTGTGATCAGTAACAACAATTAAAAAAGGACAGCTATTTATACATAAGGGCAATTGAGACTTGTAAGTCTGCACTGAATAAAGGGTATTTGATTGCACTGTGTGTATCTACAAAGCAGTCTTAAGTGATTATGTATTTCAGGGAGGAGAAATTATTTATGTAATTTAACAGAATTAGTGTGAATGACTATTTTCTTAATTTTCAGGCAAGTTAAAGACATAGTAACCTCAGGTCTTAATCTACACCTTACACTACCTGGAGGAGATACAGAAGCTCCAGGTATGTTGGTACATATCCTCTGAAGTAGAGTATTATAGTGTCATGGTCAATGTAATTTCAGAATTTAATCTAAGTAAAGTAGTTTGATTGGATTTCAGACTTGTTAAGATTAATCAGAAATTGTTCTGAGACAGTACTGTGAGGCTTTGTTGCCTTTAAAAGTTTTAGGTATGTTTAGAGACAGGTATTTTAGATACTCGATATGTTCTTTGGTAAAAAAAAAAAAGATATATTAACCTATTGGATCCAGGTGCCCCACTGCATACTTGTGGCCCAAAATCAAGGCATTAGGCTTATTTAAGGCTTGAAGGCCTGACCTACGTGAACACTCTTGTGCTGTGTCGGGACTCCTTGCCTCCCCTTTACAATGTTAGTATCTCTTTATCTCTTTCCCCCCCTTTATAAGGCCTATATTAAATTTGTCATTTGATATGCTATATCAAGATGAAAATGGACTGTTTTCCTTTTACAGATTCTGTATCATCTTTCTAGGTAATCAATAACTCTGTGCAATAACAAAAACAATAATAGTGCTCTTACAGTCGAGGATGGCACAGTCCTTCACAAGTGTCCATGGAGTCTAATCACCTTTCAAAAGCTTTGTGCACTCATAGTGCGTCATTCCCATCACCACAGCCATCAGCCAAAATTCTCTTGATATTCCTGTTACTTTGCCCTCAGCAAATTTTGTCAAATCACCCAGATCCAAGGGGTTAAGTTTCAATTATCTCTTTAATGTATTGTAACCAAAAGGAAGGGCATATGTTATATGTGAGTTGTCATAGAACTGTTGTTGGTAGTAGAATAATATTCTACTCACAGGTTATGCTGAATGGTTTCCTTGTCATTCTTTATAGATATGAAAACAGATATTACTTGGGATTGCTTCTTGCTGTCTGTCTCCTTCTCTGCATCTCATATTCTATAGTACTTCCAGTCTCAGAAAAGGAAAAAGGGGCAGCTCACTCTAAGCCTTCAAGTACTCCAGATGGCCAAGCTTATATTTTTATTTTTATCTATTTCTTTTCTTTTCTTTTCTTTTCTCCTCTTTTCTTCATCTTCTTCAGTCTTTCTTCTTTTTTCTTTTCTTTTTTTTCTAATCATCTAGCTCATGATACTTGTGTATACATGTGTTTTTGTTTTTTGATAACATGTTTACTTTTTTAATGAACATTTACTACCTTCTACACCATACTATTTTTTTAAATCAAAATTCACTTGGTAAATCAGAGAACTCCAGAGCCTGGGGTGAGTTGCAAGTTTTTCCTTTTCTGAAATTGGACAGACTATGGTATGCAGGTATTTGATAAGGAATATTCCAGCAAATATATTTTTTTGTGTACATGTGGTTCCAAAAGGAACTCTGAGAAATTAATCACAATTACATGTTTTATCTAATAATTAATTATAAATAATTTTTATCCATTCTTTCTTTATTTGATTTGATTCTTTTATACTGTTTTATTGTATTAAAATATTCCTATTTTTATTCCAGTTCTTTGGTGGTATGTACGAGAACTTTTAACACGTCATGAATATGAACGATTTTTGCTCTTGAAGAATGTTAACACGGACCTCGGCAGGGGACGGGCATGGATTCGAAGCTTATTGAATGAGCATTCTCTTGAGCGTTACATGCATGTAGGTCATTGTTGATTGTTTTATTCTGTTATATTTGTAATTGCAATAGGGAAACCTTGGAAAGAGTAAGATATTGGTAAATCTTTGTCTCATATTTGTATAATTTACAAACAAAATTGATGAAATGTGAATAGTGGCCCCATTCAGGTACATTATTGGTTTGTTACAAGAAAATTTATATTCTTCATTTATCAGTTTAATTTCATTGGCTATGTAGATACTGGTGTGCGATGAGAAGCTTTTGCTGCAGTGGTATGAGCCATGGGCATTACTCCGTGACATGGAGAGGGCAGCAATGTTACCAAACTTAGCTGCAGGTGAGATTGTTTTTTCAATATTTTCATATTTGAATTAATGTAGATTGTTTGTTATTTTTTATAGATATGTATATTTTTTTTTATGATCATTGAGGAATATGGTATCATCTTCATAATAAGTTTGTGAGTAATTATTTGCACTTAAACTTCAGTGTTCCAAGTTATCATTTCTTGCTGCTGGGAACAGTGATTTAGATTTATCACCAATTTGTATAGAACCTGTTATCTGTTACACTAAGATAATATTGTGGTTTGGTGATAGTTTTGTACTGTTATCTGTTTCCCCACAGGACTTGACTCCATTCTTTTCGCTATAAGCATTGACAACAGCGAGCTGAATGGAGGCGGTTGGAGTGAAGTCCTGCAGAAGCCGGAGGCAGCCCCAGTTTTACCTCCAGAGCCTGAAGCCCAGATTGCTGAGCCTAGTGAGAAAATTGCAGCTGGTATGTGAAAGTAGTTCAATTTGTTTGGTATTATATTTTTCTTGATTAAGATTGAGAATATTTAGTGAAGTTATTCTTTTCTTCTGCTAGCCCTATCCTCAAGAACACTAAGTTCTTATCCATACTATAACACATTTTTTAAGTAAAATTTTAAAAAGAGAATAGTGTGAATCCCTTTAATGTAAATGAAGAATAAGCCATAAATAGATTACTTCACGCATTTGTACAGATTGCGTTAGAGAAAAGCCTTTAAACCAATATTTCTGAGAATATGGTGAATATCTGTATTGATATTCATTCTATACTTGGTACAAGAAATGGGTATGAAATAAATTGATCTTAAATGAAAGATGTTCCTCATGTTAGAGAAGAATGATATTGCTAATACATTCCTTTCTTTCAGCTGGGAGCTCCAGTGCTATTAGGAAACGAGAGCTGCGGAAAAAAAAGAAAAAGATTCCATCACAGTTAATTTCCTTTGATGATGAATTGTCAAGGCCTGACCGACCAGATGTAAATTCTCCCTTATATCACAGTGCCCCAACTACTTGCCTCAGCTCTCCAGCACCCACAACAGCAGGATCAACTCCTTATGCTGACCGCTTGGAGAAACTGGTCCATCTGCGTGAACTCCAGCAAGCAAAAGAGGCTCTTAAAACCGCTGATAGTGTCAGTCCAGAAACTCCAACAAAAAGCACCAAGAATATGGGTAACACAGGCATTAAGACTGCCAAGGAGACTGAGGGTCAGGCCTCAATGCACGATTCTGACTTAGAAAGTAGTTTCCATTCCACTGACAGCAAAATGAAATATGATGGTGAATCTCTGAATGAACCTAGTTACCAGCAGCTCTTTGAAAACATACTGCCTAAATGCTCAGACAATCCCTCTGAAGGTTTTTCAAATAGTAGTGCCATTGTTAGCACTGTAGTGCCTCAGCCAAAACCTCAGCGACCAAATAGCCTTTATGACCAGGAAACAGGTTCATACAAGTCTAGTCAGTCAAACCTGTCGGCAGATAGCCTAGCTTCAAGGTAAGATTTTTTCCATAATTGCATCAACTCTCAAGATGAATTTTGTTTTTAGTTTTAGTCTAAGCTTGAAAAGACAAAATGTGCACTGGGTGGTCCATATTGTTTATGAACATTTATTGATTATTTATAGTAGAAATCATAAATAACTAAAGGGACTCTAGTAATGTTAACATAATCAGTTAGTCATTGCTGTCATGGTTTTAAGATGATACATCCATTAAATCCATATTTTGTGGTCTTATAATCCATATCAATTTTCAGTGAAGGTGATATGACGGGAACAATTCTGACTCCTGTTGGGTCACACAGTATCCAAGGATTAATACCAGTCAGTCCACGGGGTGTCACTCCTTTTGAGAGTGTGCAGTCAGATGACAACACATCAGTCAACAGCTATAGCCAAGTATGTTAAGATTATTGTCATAGTAGACAGCCACTCAGTACTAGGTTTTTATTGCTGATATTTGCGGGACCAGATTGTGAACTCATAATAATCATTATAAAAATTGTTCTTACAACCCCTAAATATTTGCTCCTTTCAACATTTATATGCATTATATCCAAAGATTTATCTTGGGCATATTTTCTCTCTCTCTCTCTCTCTCTCTCTCTCTCTCTCTCTCTCTCTCTCTCTCTCTCTCTCTCTCTCTCTCTCTCTCTCTCTCTCTCTCTCTCTCTTCTCTCTCTCTCTCTCTCTCTCTCTCTCTCTCTCTCTCTCTCTCTCTCTCTCTCTCTCTCTCTCTCTCTCTCTCTCTCTCTCTCTCTCTCTCTCTCCATAACCTAAAAAATTATGTTGGGGGTCCTGGATGTTTTGGATAAGGAGGGGGTTGTGAATATGTTGAAGCTTGTTTTTTGTTTGTTTAATTGTTTTCTTTTCTTTTTTTCCAGGAGGTAGATGATGCAGCAGCAGCTGTAGAAGACATAGTTGGAGCACATGAAAGAACAGGGGTCACAAGCCCAGGGTCACTCACCTCAACCCTTCCCAGCCAGTCAAGTGGAGAAACAACACTCACTATGGGTTAGTAAGAAGCTAATAAGGGTAACTGTAGTAAAGGTATAGAGAGTCAGTTAGTCTTCAACATCAGTGATATTATTTACTTTAAGTTGAAAGCCTTTCAGGCCAAATGAGAGATTCTGTCTCATTGTCTGGAATTTCATGCGTTGTCCGTCTTGGTTTTCTTTTATTAGGAGATGATTACTATGGCTGTTTGCCCTCACCAGTCACCTCATTCCTTTTAATTTTTGGAAAGGAAGTTTTGTATTTTTAGTACTGCTGTTATTGTCAATAATGTTATAAAAGTGACTGTCATCATAATAGGAATAATGTTAATTATGATAATGATAATATCTGAAAGGAAAACCTTTATTTCTCTGAATATTAAAGGAATGGAGTAAAGGTGTGATATGGTAAGCCTATTAGTTGACTTATTGATTATTTAGCTTTCCGTGTGCAAACAAAATTGATAAAACTAAGCCATAGTTGCAACTGAATTTAGCTTGATGGTACTCTAAGATCTTTCCATGTGTAAGTAGAAAAAAGTCCTTTGCAGATTCCTGATTATTTATTTTAATTTTTATGGGGAAAATACTTTAAGAAAATTTAGCTTTTATTTCAGTCTTTTTATCCCATTAACTGCAGTATTAAAGATTGGCAAGTGTTCAGTGAGGTGGGTTTGTTAGTGCACATTGTCAGTTTTTGCCCTTTTCCCTGGGCTCATTTGGTGCGTCAAGCAGAACATTAGTCACCTAAAACCTTGTAGCTGTATTTAAAAAAAAAAAAAAAAAAGTTTGAACAGAATTGAAGATGTCCCTCCACTTTAAGCGTTTGTTTCTAATAGTGATACCAAACAAATCTGTGACTCAGTCCACCACAGCCCAGTGGGTTAATTACTACAATTCACAGTCATATAAAGGTGTTTCTGTATTTGGTGAGGCTTTGCGTGTAATTAGTCAGAAGTGTTGTTTTTCTTTTATTTAACAGAGGAGCTAAAGTCTGCAGTATTAGAAATAAGTAGAGCTCGTGATGCAGCAGAAGGGCGGAGGATGGAGGTTGCTGCCGCTCTTACTCAGGAAATGGAGACAACATCAATGCTTCGAGCAGAAATTGCTCATCAACAGAGTCAATTCCAAGAAAACATTGATAAGCTCAATACCAAAATCAATACCATTACAAGGTTAGAACATATATCAACAATGTTGACATGCTTTATTGTTTAGCAAGGGTTTGTTGTATTGATCAAGTTATCTAGTAATCTTAAAAACTATTTCTTACATTTGTATTTTGACATGACAACAGTAAATATTTCATTTATAATATCCAGAGTGTAGATGTCTCTAGATAAAATGTGTACCATATGGTATCCATAGAGAAAATGAACTACTAAAGCATCAGTTGAAGAAGTACGTTGGAGCAGTGCAACTCCTGCGGCGGGAAGGGAGCACCAGCAGTGAGGCCACATCACAGCCACAGATCAGAACACCACCTGAGTACCGTGACTACCATGAGGAAGCTAATGCCTATGAGACAAAACTTATCCAGGTATGCCCACATGTGGCCCAAAATACATACATGAGGCTAATTTGATTGGCCACTCTGTCCAGTGTGCAGCTTTTAGGCTGGGTGCACACAAACACTCATGTGCTGTGACAAGACTCTTTGGCTCCCCTTTGCAATGTTATTTCCTCTTGTTCTGCATAAGCATTTTTAGCTTTTTTACCATTTTTTATGTCTTCTTATTTTTGTAAATTTTTTGTTTGATGATATTTAGTTTTCTGTAATACAACCTGCACCACCAATCATTCCATCCTCCTTGGAGTTGGCACTTTCCTAGTCATGGCTCATGGATGGTACATTCCACACTCGTTTATCAATGGAAATAATGCAAAAGCCCCTTCCTAAATGCCCATTGAGTCTAATCACCCTCCAAGATATTTGTGAACTCATGGTGAGTTATTCCTGTCACCCCAGCCTTCAGCAGAAATTTTAGTGAATGTAAGTTCCCACCACCCTGGCCCTAAGCCAAATTTTTCCATGTTGGCAATTTCACCCCTCCCCCCCCAAGCTAATTTATTTCATATGATGTTCATGTCATCCAGATCATATCATATCATATCAACACTGCTTTTATTGATACTGACATTACGATTATCATAAAGTTATTAAAATGATAATCACAATAAAGATAGTAAAATTATATAAAAG